AACCTAGCAAGTCATTCGACTAGAGGTGGTATTATCTTGCGTTGCTGTTGGGCAGAAATGCCTGCATTCCATATTATTTTAGCAACACGTTCTAGCAATATACATCTGAATAACAGTGATCAGCGAAACGATTTTCATTTTTTCGATGGATAATCCCGCAGTTTACGGTGGGACACTATCCTCAGGTAAATAATTCAAGATCGGACTGACATTCAATCTTGCACATTACTTTTTCCTAGTAAAAATTATCTCGTTTCCTGGCCCATTGACATTTTTCTACTCACTAGCTCGCTTTTACGGTGAATGGGTGCATTTCGTGTCTCAGGGGGATATATTCGGGCTGTCATGTCAAATGAAATTCGAGGCCAAGTACTCACAATTTTTTGACAATCCAAAGCAATCACAGTCGTTTTGAGTCCTTTCAAGTGCAATTTCAAATTCAACTTTCAACTACTTGAAAAACGGGCTGTCATTTAACACCATGGGTGTCGGCGAGAATATGCCAATAAACGAACGAATTCCGTGAAATAATACACTCAAATTTTAAGGAAGTTTTCCGCAACGCAGTCATGCGTGCTCTAGCTTTCTAATGCGGAACTAGCAAGTGAACGCAGGTGTCTCCGTACGAGTTCCGTTATTCCACTAACCCAATAACTCGCCGATCGCAAAAAGAGGGTGGTAATAGAAATGACGAACGAATTCCGTGAAATAATACACTCAAATTTTAAGGAAGTTTTCCGCAACGCAGTCATGCGTGTTCTAGCTTTCTAATGCGGAACTAGCAAGTGAACGCAGGTGTCTCCGTACGAGTTCCGTTATTCCACTAACCCAATAACTCGCCGATCGCAAAAAGAGGGTGGTAAATAGAAATGCATTCTCCTCTTGTTTGAATTCACGAGTTAGTTAGTGTTTATATGGATATTAACAAATGTCCCTGCTTTCTAAGTGCTGAGGTTTTATCTGACCATACATCTGTGTAAATTAAGGCGTGTCATAAACAAAATCCAGCGGTAATAATGAGACACAACACTGCATCAGGTTAAGGAAAGGGTTGCGTGTATGTAAGAAGCGTTGAATCCCAAGTCGCATGTTGCATTTTATGCAACGTTTCGTGCTATTGAAAACGTCAGGCTCGTTTACTGAGCCTCTTGCAGTTTTCTGAAGTTGTTGAACTTTTGAAAACTTGAAATCGGTTTAGAATGCTGGATGCAACAATTACCAGCCGCATCATACGTGTGCTAACGACCAATTGGTTGAGCAAGTTCAGAACTCCCAAACAGGCGTGTAAAAGCCGCGTGTTCTACGCAAGTTGAACGTACTAAATTTCTACCCGGCGTAAACGCCATCTTCCCAGCACTTGTACTTCAAAACGGATACCCCACATATTTTATAGGTCGAGTAACGAAATACAGATAAATGTGTAGCGAAAACACGGGACAAAGTGTTCTGTGCTTGGGGTCAAGGATCCTGCTGTCTGTATTTGCCAAATGTCGCCGCGTCGAATAATGTAGAGATCGTTATAAGTTTCACACCGAAATAAATAATACATTGTTGAATACGAATTAATTTCCGGGTTCAATTTGACCCTAAATTAAAACCTATAACCACTCAGCATATCAGCCGAATATCAAAATATAGCCCTGCAAATCAGAAGCTATTATGCGACGAGCATTTTTCGGCGCGCATTTTATAAATGCTACCAAAGATAGCACGCAATGTTCTACAGTCAAATTCGTAAACAATCTTACTATAGATGTATTTTAAGGGACCGGTCCCTGTAAAGCGTGTTGTCGTTTCATTTTATTGTTTTCTACTTGATTTGAAAATCCTTACAGATATCATGGGTTGAAAAAATCAGCTTAACATCAGTTTCAAAATTGACATAAACGCCGCATAACAAAGCAAGTATCGCGTTTTTTTACTGATAAGTTTGTACGTAATTTTATCACGCCATAGGAAAAAGCGGGAAGTTGTTATTCAAGTAATGTACCTGTCTATTTTTAATTTTACAAATTTGGATTCACTCATTACGACAACCCGTTGCGATATCGTCTAATTATTTGCCTTTGTGACTAAAGGATTGCGGGAATATTTGCTCTGATTCAAAGTGCCTACTAATCCTATTTTCATCTTTTTTGAACCATAGGCAATCACAATCAGCGTGGAAGCACCCGCAGAGTTTGTGTATATTCATTTTGTATTAATAACCCTTTATTATTCATACCTCATGAGTGCTCACAAACATCCTGCAAACCACAATGCACAAACCATGTGCCGCGCACATGAACGATATTCTTATGAGCAAATTATGCGTAAAATGGTCAAAATCCGCAATAAACCCCTTGGAACTGAAAAGACTAGGCTTGTTTCTATTCGTCACCCAGGCGATCGTTTGCGATTTTGCTTTCTGCATAAACCGCTAATCAATGCATTTCACCAACGTTGCTTGGAAGAACTCTCTTTTCCACTTGGGAAAATGTAAACAACAAATTTTTCAATCATCAGATAGCATCCACGAGGCCACTATACTGCTTGAGTGTTGAAAACTAACGAAATATGCGGGTATTCAACCGGCAATTTATTCATCAATCATATGTTCCAATCTTTAGGCTCCTATGAACCTCCCAAATCAGATGGTGAATAATAAACGCAGTTTATCACAAAGTTTAATTTGCACATTTCTCACAAAAATTGTTTGAATCCGCATAAAAACCTTTGAACCTGATGAGCTTTGGTCGCTACGCAGCCCGTCATTTGGGTGAATCAATTCATCAACTTGATTACTGAATAAAATAATTTTAGCAAATTAACCGAACCCGTGAACGGAGCAAGTTATCATAAATGCGTACTGTAAACATTGGTTTGCCCCATATTGGGTGGTTTAACAATTCGGGGCGGTCTAAACATTTTTCTATGGGCTTTGCGGGATTTCGGATTTTGTGCGCAATTCTCTTTCGAATGACAGATGCTTTGCAACAATAAATTCGCCTCCCTACATGCAAATCAATGTCGTTAACAACGATTAACACCAACCCCTGATACCGTTAATAAAAAGGTCTCCTTAATCTACCGCGGCAAAATTCGTGTCCGTACACTGAAGTTGAATCATTTGAACCGCCAGTTTCCTAAACGCGCATCTCCATACAAAATCGGTTAAACTTCCTGTGCGGATTAGGCCTGCCTTGCTTGGAAATGAGTGCTCACCTAACACGATAGTGGATTGTCTGTCCAAATGCCTGATTGTGTGGATATATATATATATATATATATATTTGCTCATTGTTGGTGCACTTGAATCGAGTATATTCCGGAAACGCTGAGGGTTGTTAAGCTGTGTTGCTTAAGCATAACGATACCAGTTCCATATATTGTGTTTCTAATTTGACATGACGAACATGGGCTAAGTTTGCGAGTAAGGAAGTAAGTAGTATTGGGCGCAAGACAACCGAGTTACTACCCATGAAGTGCGAATATCATGCACATAAGGTGCACGTTTAAGCCTTACGTAAAGAGACTCCTAAAATTATAATAGCCGATGGCTCGATGTTTTTGAATAACAAGCAACAAAATCGGCAGTCTCGAGTATTAACACCTTGAACAAAAATTAAATTGGTGCAGCCGGTTTGATTCATGTCTTGGTTGGTTATTCTGCGGCTTAACCTTGCTGAACGCTATACCGGATGGTGCACGGTTGCTCCTTCGGCAGGATCAAACTCGCTTCACGTGATCTACTAACAGCGGATTTTTGGTAATGGTAGGATAAGTATACATCTGCATGAACGCATGCCATGCAAAGTCGATATGAATAATTCGTTAGCCATTTTCGTTCAGTATGTTCGTTTATTTGTAATGATTTCATGTCGAATAACCTCACAGGTTTATTGCTTATCTGGATTCCCGGAATAATTATAATAAAATAACTATAGGCAAAAGCGATTGTCACAGTTCTGGTGACATAATATAAATTTACTTGCTAACCATATTGCAGCATAGCAGCAGAATAACGTGACTCAGTTAGACAAATCGACAAGAAGTACCTCAGTAATGAAAATTCCGAGTGAAAGTGATGAAAGTGGATTTGAAATAAAATAGTGCAATTTAGACAACACACACTAAATTCAATCAAATGTAATATATCTGATGCTGTGTAACAGAACCTAACGGGAGGGGACTCTTCTGCCGGAAAATTCAAAACATCGATTACAGCTCCCGAATGCCTTTTCCGGAATTCAGTCGTTACCAACCAGATAACCAGGTTAGCAAATCTGTGAGACTAACGAGCATGATGTGTTTTGTAGAAGCCTTCATGCCTTCAAAACTGGCTCTCTTCCAAAACATATGGACACTGCTTTGAAGCACAAAAGGTATTCAGGTTTATCTGCCTTTGAACGTACAAATTCCTAAAATACCAAAATGTTATCACGGAGTCAAATATATCCGGTGGCAAGTGTAGTGATATTTCAAAAATTGTGACTAAAAAATGACGCACCGCGTGCAGATATGTAGCCGTTGTTGAGAAAATCCAGTTTATCCCGCTTGCGTTCATTTACATCACCTTTGCTCGTACGTTTTCCGAAATACGCACATAGCACATCCTTCGTTGTCGGTCTTCTGTTTCATAATACTTTTATCTTAAGTTAGTGAAAACTCATGGTAGATCAGGGTGAAAATTTGTTAGGTGGGCATATGATTATAAACATTAAATCAGGAAAGATTAGTTAGTTTCCTGCAACGTTCAAAGATGTTGCAACATTTCCGACATGCGACTAAAATTATTTTCCAAATGTGAAGCCTAGATATTATCGAGGGCAAAACATTATTTGTTGCGTTCCATATGCGTAATTTCACCATCAATCCTGTGGCACTATTATCCCTGCGACACAATATTTTATGAAAACTCTAAATCGGACGCATGTACAACCTAGTAAAGTTCCCTGTTCTTTAGTTCTGCCTTACTCGGTTCCCTTCTTCTTGCGCGTTTTAGCACAACGACCGGTTGGATGTTTGATGTTGGGTTGGCTCGTCGCTTTTCTGGCAGTCAGGTGAGTGTCAAACCCATGATTTCACGAAGTAGCATTCAAAAGCCCCTATGTTCCTGCGCAAACAATGCCGCTTGTCAGAGAAATTATTACTAGTTAGACTTTTTAAATGCGCCATTCTTCCATACGGCTCAATGGTTGGCGTTAATCTGTATAACGGCCGAAGATAAGGGGCTAATTTGTTTGAATTGTCACAAATTCATACTTAGAAACGACCGCATTTCTTCGGGCTCTTTAATAATGATGCAGATTTGCGGGGACCGGTTCGACAAAGAAAGCTAAATACATGCATGTTATGAAGATTTGTTGCTCAAAACTACGAAGTTAACACACCCCACCCAACAGGCCTCTGTTCTGGCAACGAAGATATTTGAGAGAGATTTTCGGAATTCATAGTCTAAGGCTAACCCTGCACCAAAGCATGTCATGTCGTACATCAAGAAAGAGGCTTTTTAATGAGAGCCTGGGATAAAATCTGAATGTTTTTGCTCTGTTACATTACGCAGTTTACGGTACCCCATCAAACGGATCGTTGCATTGACAGACACGTTTATGGTACCGTAGAAAACAACTGTGAGTTATAGGTGCCATAAACCAACTCCAGTCAGTAACTTGTTATTACCATATTTTGCGCTAAAATGCACGTTTTCTATATCTCAATTTACTATGGCTCCCGAGCACGGATAACGTCGCGTGTACCATGGGAATAGGAAAGATTTGGAATTTCTTTGTGCAGTGAACGAATTTCATGTTGACGACACGACGTAGAAGAATTATCTCGACATTGTTTCCCATGCAGTCCACCAGTCTTAGTAGATTCCTCCAGGTTCAACCAAAATGCTGCAATTTTTCTAAAGTTATACAACGACGAAATGCAATTCAAGTCGACTACTTGTGTTTCTGTATAGGAATACGTGTTTTACGGTTTACTTGGACCCGTGTGTTCTTGAACAGCCGTTTTACACCTCGTCGTCTGCCTTCAAGAACGTGGTTATTTCCCGTTCAATTCCAGGCCCTAAGGCAAAACAATATTTGTTGCGTTACAGGTGCACAGTTTCACCGTCCATCCTGTGGTGCTATTTTACTGGCGAAATATTCTTTTATAAAAACTTATACTCGGGCGCATGCACAACCGAGTAAACTTTCCAATTCATTTTTAGCTCTGCACTTAATTGGTTCCTTACATCTCGTGCATTCTAGCACAACGACCGGTTGTTTTTACGATGAACATTTGGCTGTTTACTTCTATGTCAGTCAGGTAAGTTCTGAACCCAGTGGATTTCAAAAGATTCCACGATCCTGCACAAGCAGTGCCGGTCGCCAGAAAAATTCCTAACAATTAGACATTTTAATAGCGTCTCCATTCCACAGGGCTGGATGGTTGGCCTTACTTTGCATAACACCAAAATACGCAGGTTTAATTAATTTATAACCC